GAGGCTGGGGTGGCACAGTGAGCTCCTGCAGGTGGTGGCGGCACTGGCAGCGACGGGAGCACGGCAGCAGTAAGCGGCGAGCTCCCGCAGGCAGCCATGGCACTGGTGGCGGCAGGGGCAAGTGCCAACTGGTGGTCAGCGGTGGCGGTGCTGGCAGTGGCCAGCAGCAATCACGGGCCACCCACAGATGCCACCAACAGTTTTGGTGGCAAGAAAGGGAGGGTGGTGAGTGGCGCCCACCCACAGGCATCGCTGGCAGTGTTGACGACACCTTTTCACAGGGGGTGCACCGTCATGCTCAGGGGTTGCATGTGCACCACCATGCGCCCCCTACACATTGCCAATGCTATCAGGGTTTGGAGGTTTTTTTTCTTTTTTAATTTTCCTCAGAGGCTCTGCATGTTGGCTGAATCCAAAGCTGGGGATTTTGACTGGGTTGCGCTAGTGCTCCTGCTGGGACTTAAAGCCAGAGGTTTGTGGCTAGAGGGTCTTGCCCCTCCCCTCAGGGTCAGACTGAATGCCATATTTGGAGTCAGGAAGGAATTTTACCCCATGGTCAGTTTGCTATAGACGGTGGGAGTTTTGGCCTTCATCTATAGTGGTAGTGGGGTGTGGCCCCCTGCCTGGGCTCTCTTGAGTGTATATTAACAACATCAGCAGCAGCAGGACATTGGCTGCCATGGTCCCTCTGCTTTACGTGTGGCAGGTTAGGGTGTTGTGTCTTGTGTGGCTGTCAGGGTTGGCTGTATAGTTTTTCCTAAGAGTTAGACAATGGATTTGTATAGGATGATCCTGCCTCAGGCAGGAGGTTGGACTAGAAGACTTTTGGAGGTCCCTTTCAGCCCTATTTCACTATGATTCTATGATTCTCTTTTTTACAGTTAAAACAGAGCTTTTTCCAAATGCAGCACAATGTTTGGGGCTATGTAGCCCTCCAGACTTGGTACATGCCTGCTTCTTTGCTCTCTTTCCCTGTGCATGCTTCTTAAGTGAGGAACCATTGCACAATTCCTAACTCATCCTGTTATGGAGCCCCTCTAAATGCAAACTTCAGTCACTACCCTGGCTCTCTTCCTGTGCAATTGGTCTATGGTTACATAGGGTCTGAAGAGAACTCTCCTCTCAACAGAGAAGATGTTTCATTGCATTCTGGAAAATAAATCACACCACATTGGCCGTGCTGGGTTCTACAAATAAAATGCAACTGTTGATAGCAGTGCTTCTATATCTGTTGTGCAATTTCTCTCCAAAAGGTGGTTATAACTGAAGTCACAGGTGTTTGGCAATTCTTAGTATACTACCATTGTTGCAAGGCAAAGTATGCATGCACAATGTCTATTAAAACAAAACCTAGTTTCCAAATTCCACTTAAGGAAATCATAGGCCTCTTGATAGAGGTATTTCTATTTTCACTGCTGTAAGCTTTTAAGAGCCTGACCGTCAACCTAAATTTTTCTACATGCACCTCTTAATCTTCAGTAATTTAAAAGATCCTTTAGTCCAAGTGAGTAATAGAATATGCCTGCCCTCTGTTTCTGTAATCTTAAGAACTCCCCAAGCATGTCAAAAAGCTATCCTTGCTGGTAGAATAATACCCATGGAAGATGAGAAGACAAAACTGTTATTCATAGAGACTGAATAATTCTGTCGTTCATGTCAGTGGATTTAAAGACTTCTATGGGAAATGGGGTTTTCTTTGTAATATTTAATTTTCTGTGTAATTGATGATTTCTTACATTTACATTCTTATTTTAATTACTACTAACACAGCGGCACCTGCCAGGTCAGCTGAGGACCTATTCCCACTGCAGCCAAACTGCCCAGCTCCTCTTGATCCAGGTGGGCCCTCAGCTTACTCAGAAGGCATCACTGGCTGCCCATGCAGCTTGAAGAGGGGCAGTTCAGCTCTTGTGTGCTCTACTTTCTGTATTTCCTCCATTAAGGCATGCACCCCAGTTTCCAGCAGCTAAATTGGGGCAGGGGGTGGAGGGGACGAAGGTGAATTTCATATGCGAGTCAATATAGTAGGTATTTATAACTGTAACACATGAGCACAGCTTGGAAATTCCCAGTGCAGTGGCACATCTACATTTACCCATTGCAGGTTAGTGCTATTTAAATATTGAAAAATGAAGATCATACTTCGAGTGAAAACTTGAAAAGTGAAATTTTAGTGCCTACACCTACATGTAATACATACACATACCTACATATACACACATACTACATATAAAATAAATAGAAAATCTGCCACAAGTTTACTCACGGCAAAATTTCAGGATGGTTTTATTTACTTGAATTACCTGCTTTCCTAAATTTAGCATATCCAGACACTAAGGGTCATCTCCCTTGTTCTCCATGCTGGGATGTTACACAATTTCTCCTTAAGGAATTCCCAGTTCTTTGCTAATGGCTCCCCAGTTTGCATAATCGCTGTACAATTGCCTCAGAACAGATTTACTTGTCTCTCTATACTAATGTATACATTTTACTAACCATACTACAAAGGTTTATTTTTTTATAATATTCCTGGTTTCCTTCCTCAAACTTCCTGCACCAAATTTGCATCTCTTTACCCTGACGGGGCCTTGAACTCAACCTTGTCAATCTACTTCCCAAAAACAAACAGCTCAACTTCAAAATAGATCATCTTTAATATATATATGGCATAGGAGGTTGGGTTATACTGATTATTGAATAAGGGTGTTATTATGTGGGGGTGGGGAGCTTGTATTGTCCTGCTTAAACTGTATACACGACAAACCGTAAGACAGCAAATAAACATATATTAAGGCTTGGTACATGACAGAGACTTATGCTGAAATGACTTCAATAACAGTATTTATACAGAGCTATATGAACATTTGTTTGTATGAATATTACGGATGCCTGTGTGTATTTATGAGTTATGAGAATAGAATAGAACAGGTAAAACAAATTACTTAGGTCCTCAAGGGACAAGTGTGGACACTCTAATTGGGGAATATCCCTTACCTGGCGCTAACCATGTTAAAATGGTTTGTTCCAAGAGTATGGATACACAGTATTGCCAGCTCTCCTGAATGTATCATGAGAGTTGCGATTTCTAAGTAAAATTAAGTCTGACTCATGATAAAACTCTCAAATCTTGGGATTTTTTCTTCTGGCACATCTCATGCCCAACAGGACCAGAACTGGCCATATAGTCCCTGGAAGCCCAGAGATTTATATGCAAAATCTCTTGATTTTTAAGAGTTTGTCTCTTGATTTTTGACAGGTGGGGTTGGCAATATTGGATACATATACCTTTGAAGCCCTTTCAAGGGGTCAACAGCTGTTACACTCTACTTGCACTGTTCAGTGTGGACAAGTTGGGAATGATACAAATGTAGCAAAACCACTCCAGCTTAGACTCCTGAAGTATTGTTAAAGTTGGACAGTTTTGCTTGTCCAAGCATTCTAGGCTTGCTCACACCTAAAAGTGGAGGCCAACCTATCTGGCAGGCATGCCATAAATTGAGCCCCACACAGACAGAGTACCCTTCCCCAGCCTGGTATGCTGCTCTGCTTTCTGCTCCCTTTCCTATCTGTCACTGCGCTGCCTGATCCCCACCCCTGCATCTGCTGTGTGCCATACACAGAGGCTGCCTGTGCCACATTACAAGCATAGGCTGGCCATCCCTGAACTAGAACATAATAGCTGCTGCTCTTTTGAAACAGTCACCTTTAGATGTTTCAAGTGTCCATACCCCAGGACTAAAGCCTAGGATCAAAGAGGATACTAAATCATTATAGTGCCTTGGGTTTCAGGGAGGAGGCTGAAGTAAGGTGAGAAAGGCTGCCCAAGAAGTATCAGCTGACAGGCAAGCAGGGAGACAGATATTGAGAGGCGCTGCACCACGTAGGGTGCACCAACAGAGGGGCTGTTAATTGGGGGATCCATTCTTTCGGTTGCCAGAGCCAGGTCATGCCTACTGAGGGGCTTGTGAGGAATCCCAATTGAGGGGACACAGTGTCTCAAATAAAGTCTCTTTGAACGATTTTGCTGAACACTGGGAACCTTTCAGCAAAAGCCACACCACACCATCACCATATACTTGTTTTGAAGAAACTAATTCTGCTACTGTTAAACCTGTCACACTACTACTGTTGCAAGGTTCCCAAGCAGAAATCTATACAACCTTTTTAAGTCTGTTACTTGATAATCACTAGCCAGATTAAACTGGGTACCCAGCTGGATGGGTATGGATCATGGGATCCAACTTTCTGCGAGAATTTGAGGTATAAACCTATCATTTGAAACTTGAATCACCTGAGGTTACAAAAGTGTTTCAGAGGAATGGCATGTCCAAGGACTGTGACCCTAAACATGAGCAAAAGAGAAGCACTTTCTGCCAAATAGTACTACAATTGTGAGACCCTCAGCTATGATGCATGCAGGACTTCTATTACTGGTTTAAAATATTTTTCAAAGTGTATAGATTGGGGTTTTGTTATAAAGGCTCTATGCAACCTTTTTGTGGCCCTGATGAATCACATCTCTACAATGACTCTGCTGTAGTAGTACTCCTAGCTGTGATGACCTTTATGCTTCCCTTATCTAGAGCCAGCCCCTTGGCACAGTGGCAGAGTATGCAGGTGTGTCAGCTGCCAGCACTGACAAATTTACAGGAGGCAGGAATCGATACACAGATAAAGCCCTGACTCCTCCCTTGGCTATGCACCTTCACCTGAAATAATGTGCAAGAGGGCAGAGAAATTGCTGCACCAGAGGTGTCTGTAGGCTGGGGTGATCTTTCTATATTTGGCTTTAGCAACAAAATCCATCAGTGAGTGTCACATACGGGATAGAATCAGGAAACTCTTCTAAAGTGAAGAAAAACAAGCCCAGAACTAGATTTAAAAGGAAGGAGATACTGTATTGTTTCAAATAACTTCCAGAAATTTTATATGCATAATTAATACCTACAGTTATGAACTAATCTAGAGGGATTTAAAAATAAATGAAAGATGATAATGACCTAACTGCTGGAGTCTCACCATGCAGCCAGATGTCTGGAAGCCAGTGTGTTGTGCTTCTGTGAGGTGACAAGGCACATGTGGCAGAAATTATGAACTGCTTCAGCCTTGCAGCTCCTCCCTGGAAAGAAATGCAGGAATTACCATACAGAATCAGACAGAAGACATCTGGTCCAGTATCCAACCTGTAATTTTGACCAGCTAGAGATGCTTCAAAAAGCTTAAGAAACCGGTAGGGGGCAAAAGTGGAAGAATCCATCCCCTGACCTTAGATCTCATGCGGATATCTAACAAGCAGAAATGGCTCAAGCTCCAAAGCATCACCTCCACCAAGTATCATTAAATAACTTCACTCTAATACAGCACTTTTCATTCTACATCTCAAAATGTTCCAGAGCAGAGTCAGTAAGGTTTTACAGCAATGGGCCACATCAACCCTATTCAGATCCCAAGTGGCACAGTGTTTCCAGCTTGGTCTGCTGCCACTGCTGCTTCCTACCATCCAACTGTGACAGCATGCAAACCTCACCTCACCATCCAGCTGCAGCACCAGCATGCTAGTGTCCCAGCCATCTGGCTGTGCTTGCAAAGCACATCCCCCTCCTATTGCTGTCTGTGGCACAGTTTGGCATGCAGTGACCCGCTCCCACCACCACCATCTCCACTGCCCAGCTGCAGTGCAGCAAGGGAAGAGCCTGGGGGCTTTACAGCCCACATTCAGCCCGTGAGCTGTATATTGCCAATCCCTGCTTTACAGAGTAGGGTAAGACTCCTATTTGGCAAATGAAAAAACCAAGAGGTTGTGGGATTATGTACAGATCACAAGATCATAAAACAGGTTGCTGATGGAGCCAGGAATTAAGTAGCCTAAATCACCTACCTTCCATTATCAGGTCCTGCACTAATAAGCAGGTGAAACGGTATTTCCACTACACATACATTCAAGCTCAGATTTCTAAGCAGGGTCATTTCTGTTCCCACTATTGTCAAACCCAGCCTGACCTTGCAGTTTTGTATACTTTAACTCAGATGTCACAACTGTGTCCTCTGCAGGGTCTGTACTCACCTGGCATTTGCCAACCTACATACAGAACTTTAGGTGTGCAAAGGCTGTACCTCGTTTGTCCGGGAGGATGCATGTTATCTGACAAGCCCACACCCTATAATGCTGTTGCAGTTAAAGCCATTTACTTTTAAAAAGGACTCTGAACATTTTATCATCAAATGTTCAGAGTAAACATGACCCTTTCCTCTGAGGAGAGCACAGGTGTGGGGTTTCAGCTCATCTCTTCTCCTCCCAGCTGCCCCTAACTGCCAACCCCTTCCAGCTACCAGGTGTAGCTCAACTTGAGAAGCTAAAATATTCCAGTCCCTTTCACTTCCCTCCAGTATCAAAATGTTATATATCCACTCAATAGTCCATATGAATTGCATAAAGGAAATCTGTATACATTGCCTATCGGTTCTCAGATCCCTACTGAGAGAATTACTGGACTCTTGAGAAGAAAAAAGCAGTCACATGAGGTTTACTTTTACATACTACTTTCTTAAAAATCTGTGCAAATTTCCTGCTCTTGCGCACATTTATATTAATTCTTACTAGTATTTCTAGACTCTAGTAACATCAGGTTAGGAAACCTGAAATGTTTTGTTATAACAAAAACTAGCCTTGAAAGGTTTTGACTTTTATTTTCTGTACCAATGTGAAGCAAAAAAAATGCAGAAGAGGAAAAAATAAATATCCAACAGTCTGTGGGAGTGCCATCAGGAGATCCAGGCTGAAAATTCCCTGACCTAAATCCAGAGGAGCAATGCCATTTCCAAGCTACTGATTATCCTCCCCCCGCCTCCTTCCCTCCCTCTCTCCCTCTCTCTCATTTTGACCAGCAATTCCATGATGAAACATACCATAGAGTAGACACAAACCTTCCCAATAATGAACTTCATGAAAAGACAAGCATTTCTACAAAAAGTTTTGGCTGCAATGTAATCCCATCATTTTCTGATGAATAAGATTTTATGGAAAAGTTCTCAATATCCTTGTTTAAATATCTTAGGTTTAGATGATGAATGAAAAGGAAGCACAGTGAAGCAACCATTATTATTACTGCTGTTATACTAAATATAAAGATATTACTGATGATCCATTTCTTATGTGGTTTGGTATGCTGCTGAACTACATTCAATGGCTTGGCTTTTAAAACTAGTCTAATCCAAGCTAATTCCAACCTGGAGTATGTTGTTCAGCATGAGCTCTATACAGTAAAAGCCGTGTTACCCAGTACTTCATTAACCGGCATGCCAGTCGACACGGCAAAAGCGAAACCAGAAGTCCTGCTTCCGGTTTCACCGAGTCCCACTTCAGGCCACGGTGAATGTATTGATAAATTAATAAAGTTTACATGTAATCCAGTGTATCCAATGTGTACAGGAGAGGGGCAGGAGGGGCAGAGTGGTGCCTGCCCCCCAGCACACTGATGCACCAGATGCAGCGGGGGCAGGCAAAGATGCCTCTCAGGTAACCGGCATATTTGGTTATCCAGCACCCCCCACTCCCCATGGGTGCTGGACAACAGAGCTTTTGCTGTATTTATAATTGCTGAGTCTTTTAAAATCTGCTCATTCCAAACTGCATTAATAAGAAATTGGGCATGTCTACACATGCATTTAGGCACTTTTTCTAATGTGCATTAAATTTAGTACCTCCAATGTGACATAGTAAAGAAATGCGCATTAGGCTGCCTTAATGCACAGTAATGAATGCACTTGGTTTTTCAGTGCCACTTAATGTGCAGTAGCCTATTTAACTGTGCATTAGCATAATCACATTTTTTAAGTAATGCTTTAATGTACAGTAAAATAGGCTACCGTGCATTAAAGCACATGTAGACGTGTCCACTGAGTACAGAAATGAGCTCCCAGAGAAAGGAACAAAGCAACAGCTGAGAGACTTGGCAGCATGACAGCTCCCAACCTCCATTGGCACCTCTCGAACAACAAATTAATGAACTCCCATCCTTACAGAGGCATCAGGCCTTGCCTGATGGAAGCAAGTGTCTGCTGTGTCCCCACTTCACTACAAGATGCAGCATCACTGGACCTAATAACAAGGAATACAACATCCAAAGTTCATTCACCTGCCACTCTACCAATGTTATATACACAATCACCTGCGTACAACGCCCTTCTGCTGTCTACATTGAACAGACAAGGTGATCTGCACATGTAAGAACGAATAAATGCCAATATGACATTAGCTGCAGAATGACAAAAATGCCTGAAGCAGAACATGTCTACCACCCCAAATAATCCATCGCTGACATGAGGATTGCTGTTCTCAGGCAACAAGATTTAAAAAACCAGTTGGAACAGGAAACTGTAGAACAAGAAATCATCCATAAACTTGCCTGTGTTTGTGTTATATTTTATAATTATGTTTTAAACACGGACTATGAATTCTTATCTCATTACCTGGATTAGGTTTTGTGACCTCCTTTTTCTGATGGGTTTACTGCTTGTTTCCTTCTCTCTCCTACCACTGTCCCCTCCTTCTCTCCCCCTCCATTATCTTTTGTATTCCTGTCTCCTTTTTATACTTTTGTAACTCCTCTGCTGGGGAACCGGTCAGCAGCAAAAATGGATGGGTCCAAATTTTGGGGTACCTCATAAGTGATAACAGTGGCCCATCCAGAAAATCTGGGAACACTAAATTTCCTGGGGTGTCCCATATAAACAAAACTCCCTCTCTCACAAGCAGTATGTTTATACAAAACCCAAATCTTTTACACAGAATAAAACAAAACAAAAAAAATTTGTAAATATAATTTTAAAACACTATTAACTACAGAGCAAAATCTATAGATGGCACCCTCTTAGGGAGGCTTCATCCATACCCAGGCAGTCTGGGATTTGGGACTCCCTAACAGGGAGTCCCAGCACCCTGCACCCCTATACGTGCCCTTCAGCAATAGGCTTGGGAACAGGGTCCACACTGGAGAGTCCTGTGAGCTGCTCCTTGGGTTCGCTGTGCCACAGGGAGCTGCTTGAGAGCGTGGGTCCTTCTGCATTACAAGGGGCCCCTCGTTGCTCCTGGGGAAGTGGTAGAATCCCGATCTTTGCCCCCACGAAGAGGCTGAGCGCATATGTGCAGAGTGACCATGGCTCCAGCCAGCATGCACGTACCTCAGAAATTCTGGGCTGGATTATATGGCCCGCTGAAACAAAACTGCAGAACAAACTCCAGAAGAAGCCAGGTTGATTAATGGCTACAGCTGACCCAACCGCACAGCTTGACTGGAGCAAAGGACCATCAAAGGAAACAAAAGGGAAAAGCCAGGCCTACCCTCTAGGCCTGAGCTGCAGGTAGTTTGGGCCACTGGGAGCCAAAAACATTGCAAACCTCAACCCCAGCCCAAAGCGGGAAGGATCAGAAACTCTCAGGTTTCAACCCTGTTTAAAAAACTGCCAGGCCTTACTTCTGGTCAGCAAACCCAAGGAACCAATACTCTCTTCCCCAGTATTAATCCCTTAAACCCATAAAAAAGGGAAAGAAAAGGAGGAGAGAGGAGTTCCCAGACACTGGGACAGTTCTCCCTGTCTCTCTCGCTCTCTCTGAGTTTCCCTTTTTGCTATCTGCAAATTCCTTCTCCCTCAGAAGACTTCACTCTTCACCACCCCCTCACAGCTACTCCCTGTCCCCAAACCAGCCTAGCTCACCTTATATCCCCCTGCATGACATCACCCTGGCCTTGTCCAGTCAGGGAGTGCCGCAGTCCAGTCTTTCTCCCAACCAATTTGCCTGGAGGATCTTCTGCTTCTGCTGGCCAATGAGTCCAGAGGGTTTTACATACTTTGCCCAGGTACAGGCCCCACCTTGCCATGTACTAAGCACATGGCCAGAACAACGGGGTCTATCTTACCCACATAAAAACAGAATATACAACAACCAAAAGCATACAGTTTACCATACACAACCCCAAGTGTTACACTGTGCTTTCTGCACTTCTTTTCACAGCATCAGATGACGGGAAGTTGGGTTCACAAAAGCTTGTACTCTAATATATAGATCTTATTTTAGCTAGTCTGTAAAAGTGCATATCTACCCCATCTTCCAACTGACTTCAGATGAACACAACTGCCCCCTCTGCACATAGAGATGCCTAGCACTCTCATTCCAAAAACTCTGCAGCAACAAAAGTTCAGCATTAAGTCTTTGAAATCAATACATATACCAACTAACCCTCCTCAGGAAATCACGAGTCTAGATCAGAAATATATTCTCTTGGCCACAGAGCAAATCCCCTTGCCAGTCACTTGTCAAGTTTGGGTTTGTAGCCGATTGTTCTAAAGCAAAACAACTCTGTATACATGCCACAGAAGTGACGCATCAGGCCACCTTGCTATGAGTGTATCAGCAAGAATGACCGAGATAGACTGGAAAAAAATGGTCCACAATCGACCAGATGAAATTCAGCAAGGGCAAGTGCAAAGTCCTGCACTTCTGGTGGAATAACTTCATGGGAAAATACAGATTGGGGAATGGATTGGCTTGGCTACAGTACTGCAGAGAAGGACCTGGAAATTACTATGGACCATAAACTGAATGAGCACAGCGTGCTCTTGCTGCCAAAAAAGGCCAACAGTATACTGAGTTGTATTAACAGGTGTATCACTTGCAAAATCAAGGAAAGTGATTCTTCCACTTTATTCAGCATTGGTAAGGCCTTAGTGGAACGCCATCTCCAGTTTTAGGCCTCACACTTCAAGAAGGATGTGAACAGACCAGAAAGAATCCAGCACAGAGCAACAAAAATGATGAGAGGTCTGGGAAGCATGCCGTGCAAAGAAAGGCTGAAAAATCTAGATGTATTCAGTTGGGAGAGAAGAAGGCTGAGGGTGTCAGGATCAACTGGGCTGTGGGAAGGCACTTGGAGCCAGCTGGAGCCACACCAGGTATCTACTGCAGTCTGAGTGGTCAGGCCAAGGGTTGAGGCGGGATTGTGGTCAGGACAGGTGGTAGGTCAGAGCCAGGATCTCCAAACAAGGCAGAGGTCAAGAAACACACAGAAGAGCACTGTTGCTAGGACAAGTGCCACAGGAAGTAGGAGGAGTTTTAGAGTCCCCCTGTCAGGGGCTCATGGCTCCCATAGTTTCCTGCAGGTCACCTGACTCCTCTTCAGTGTCTTCATGGGAAAGGCCAGGCTGGGTTAGGGCTGGTATCTGACCAGCTGCCTGTTGTTGCTGAGGCCCTGGCTTCTGCCTGCTGGTTTGGCTGCTCCAGGCTCAAATCCCCATACCGTTAACAGAGGTCCCCAAATACATAAAGGGCAATTATAGCAAGGATGGAGATAGTATTTTCTCCGTAGCCATAGGGGACAGGACTAGAAGCAATGGCCTCAAGATGCAACAGCGGAGGATCAGGAGGAATTTTCTACCTGTGAGTGTGGTCAAGCATTGCACCAAGTTACCTGAAGAAGTGATGGGCTCTCTCTCTCATGAAATTTTCAAAATCAAGTTAAACAGACACTTGACTGGGTGTAGTCATGGATGATTCTACCTTTACCAGGACGCTGGACCTTGTGAAGTCTCTTCCAGCCCTACTTTCCCATGATCTTTTGTTGTTATCAGTATGAAGGAATATGCATTTCTCTGGGAACAGAATTTGTAAAATAATTGCTGGCAAGAACACAGTAAAGAGAGGCAGCACAAGAATGTAAAATTCATTTATCAGTCCTACAAAACCAGGGTTTTCTTTAAGCAGGCAGCAGAGTATTTTGGAGTACTTCAAATTATAAAAAGTGTTTGTTGATGGAAGGTTGGCAAAAAACTGAAACCACCTTTT